AATGTTAAATAACAAGTGATAAAACAGCGCTTCTCCATGCCCATCATTTTTCAGACAATCCTGGACAAAACGTTGTGGACAACCCACAGAATTTGGCCCCGAATGGTGTTTTTCTAAATAATTATCCCCCCGCTCCCCCAAGCCAATTTTGAATGGGATTTTTCATCAAATGCGAAGTGTGGTTAAGTCGGATATGCAACATTGAAGTGGGGAAGTGGGGGATGTGCAAGTAAATTCAAGTTTTAGGTGTTGGTTATGATTTTTGCAAAAGTGGATTAAGTGTCCACATGAGTTTTGGCCCGGATTGTAGTTCCTTCGATATCAATGTAATTTAATAATCATAAACTGTTGATATCCACACCAGAATCCGTTGCTCCCTAAGCGAAACAGGTGCACAATTGGAAAAGATATTCCTCCAAAGTTTGATATTTTCGCCCTTCGAAATGTTGGAACCGCCATTGTTTTGCTAGCAAATACGCATGCGCATGTCAGCCAAACTGGCACTGCGCGCGTGCAGACAAGAAAAATTTATTTTCCCTGACGGTTTTCCTCGATTTCCCCTGTAAAAACAACAAAATAAAATCACGGAATAGAGATCAATCATCAAATTAGTATAGTTAGTAATCACACGGAAAGGAGTACAATTAATCATTAACACTACGAGTGATATTTGAAAGATGTGCCAAACTTGCACGAGCCGCCGAGGCGAGTTTTGTCAGGAAATTTAGGAGGCTTTGCCCCCCCCCTCCCCCCCACGGAAAAGGTGAATTTCCGCCACTGCAAACAACATATTTTGAGTAAAGAATCTTTATAAATCGTATAACAGATTTACATAGTCACGTTTCGCTGCATCTTGCCGAGTTTATTTATTAAAACTGTTTCCAGGTATTTTTACAGGATCTTTTTGTCATACTATGTTTTTTAAACTCATTCTCGCGCCAAAATTTAGTTAATTCGTCCCCGTTTGCTATTACAGTATTTCATGTACCACATTTTCGCCGCCATATTGGAGTTTTTTTGTTTTGATTTCCCGCTCCGCCCCTGCCATCACGAAAATCTAATTGCACTCCTGGAGAGTGCAACTAATGATGGTAACAGAACGAATAGGAGTGCTGTTAATGCCATAATCATACGAGTAATTACAAAATCAACCTGCCGCGTAGCGGGAGGTTGATTTGTTAATCACAAGTATGATTATGGCATTAATAATATACATAAAGATATTACTTGACTGTGATTGGTTGATTTCAGTGCAGTTAATCCCAAACAGCAGTGCAATTTTCTGTAATCACAGTGCAATTTTCTGTAATCACAGTGCAATTTTCTGTAATCACAGTGCAATTTTTTGTAATCACAGTGCAATTTTCTGTAATCACAGTGCAAAAATCTGTAACAAACTGATCTGATTGGTGGAAAAACATTGTGATGATTAAATCAACCAATCAGTTTAAAGCAGTTTAGTTTTAAAGAAGTAATGGTCACAGATTGCTTCAAAACAAAACAAACATGGCGCCGCGCTACACAAAGTAAAAGTTGCCTTCGCGTGGAAAATATGGCTTTTATCTTTATTTTTAAATGGAAAAGCATTTACCTTAAACAAGACTGACAAAAATTACACAGTTGAGTGGAATTTTCAAGCTGTTAGCGGTGTATAATGTGATAAAACAAAGCCAGGAAAACTTTGCCAGTGGAATGTTCGCTATAAACGCGTTAGTTAAAACTACAATTGTCTCGAATATTTTTATGTAAATTATTAATAAGTAATAGCATGGTTTCTCGTGAAATTTGGATAAACATGCACTCGTGAGTTTTTCAAAGACCTAAAATAGTACTCGTCCTTCGGACTCGTGCTATTTTGAGGTCTTTAAAAACTCACTCGTGAATGTTATATCCAAATTGCACTCGAAACCATGCTATTACCTATACTAATAGCACGACTTAATTGTTCTATTAGTTATTAATTATTTATCTTCTGTAATCAAACTGTTTACGGGGAAAAGGCACAAAAATACAATTTGTTGAAATTCAATATAATTATTCAATTTTTGTCACGACAACAATCACATGACAACATTGTTTGAATTTAATTATTCAACAGTCAACGCACAAATATTGGGAAGCCATAAGTCCATATGTTGCAAGTTTATAACGTGTTCAAAATGGTGAAGTTCTTTAGTTCAGTTTAATCTGAATCAAATATAACCGCTCAACGTCTTTTTCTCGCAGCTGAATTATCCGTGTTCACCGTCTGGTTTCCAATATTAAAACCACAGTTGTTGTAGGCAATATTAACCGGAGGTAGCGATGAGGAAACTGGATTTTTGGCAGACACAAGTGGGTCAACACTGGGGGGAATACTCAAATAACCTTCTTGGCGAAGGATAGCGTTGGATGCAGATGCAATTTGTTGTCTGACTTGAGCGGGGACAATTGATGTATCGTGTTCGGTTGGTCTAGGAGCTGTGGAAGACAATACGATCGAGGGAACTGAGGTTGTTGTTCGCGAAGCTGACGCACTGTAGCCACTGATGATATGAGACAGTTCTCTGCGTTCTTCCTCCCTGATTACGTCGTAATCATTTAGAGATGCCCCAGATGCATGACCGGTAATTTCCTTGATCTTATAGCGTGGTTGTCCAGCAGATTTCAGCTTTTGTACGACTATTTTTCTCGTGCTGTGATTTGTCAACTTTTTCGCTGTTGAGCTCTCGAGCAACGAAGTTATTCTTGGCATTATTTTGCCAATTGTGTTCTGGCCCGTTCGAACATTGGTATACCAAACATCGTCATTTTTTGGACGTTGGATTATTGTCAGATACAGAGGGCCTTGGTTTCGCATCGGCTGAGGGCGTTTGGAGAGCAATAACTTGAAAAGCTTTACTGGGTCTCGAGGGCCGCCATCAGTGTTCCACATAACTTGCTTCGTGGTTCTTTTTGCGACTGGAAGGCCTCCGCTTCGTGTTTCGGTGGGATTTTCATTGAATACAATAGATTCCGAGCCATCGTCGTGCTTGTGAAGGATGAAATCTTCCACCTATGCGTCGTGGTTGTCCTGTCGTCCTCGCAAACCCATTTGCTCCGAAAGACACTTGAAATTGGCATTTGTCAACGCGACTGGCGAATGATTTCCGAGTGAACCGTTTTCCCACAGCAATTCCTCTTTGCTTTGGTTGAGTGCTTCTGCTTTGTTGGGACGCTTACCCATGTCTTGCTGTCGGAGACGTGCTGCTTTAGCGTTGAGTGTCTTCATAGACTGATGAAATTGCCTTGAAGAAATGATTCTTTCGCCGTAATCTTTGTCATGTAAGTAGCGATCAATTGCAGCTTGCATCACGCGAGGGCTTTCTGGCTCGTCGTCCGCTCCATTCACTTTTTTAACCTCGCCATAAAATTTGGTGAGAAGCTTATCCAATTGTTCATAAGGAAAAAGTTTAATTGGCTGACTTATTCCTCTAGCTGAACACCAATTTGACCAGACATTCATCCAGGTTTTTCTTGACCGCTCCGTGTTTACTTTAACGTTTGAGTTTTTAATCTCTTCAATGTCGTTTTCGGTTAAATTAGGGAAGCTGGTTGTGTTTGGTTCGGTGGTCATTTTCGTCAGAAAATATATCGCTTAAAATGTCAAAATTTTCAAAATTTGTGAATTCCTCCATTTTGAATTTTTTTTACAGAAATAAAGAAAATAAAATTCAAAGTTTGTATCCAGAATGCGGATTGGCTAGTGACTGGTTGTTATTGGCTGTAGACAAGAGTGCGATTACAGCTCAGAAAAGGTGCGATTAATGCTCAAATCGCACTCCTGTAAACCAATGAAATTGCAGTATTTGCCACTGATTACGGAAGATAAATAATTAATGAATAACACGTTTTAACCAATCAGATTGCAGTAATTTTGTCATGTATATAATAAACATTGTGATATTAACGAATAAATACACACAATTTAAACATGGCTTAAAACACATTGTACATTTTGCTTGTTCATATGCTAAGTAACTTGAATTCATTGGCTATTGTTTCAAAATACCGTTTTAACGTTTAATTCTAATTTTTAACATTCTAATAGACCTTTATAAAAAGGTTGACGTCAGCAGGCTTGTGACGTACTGTAGTTTGCGGAGAAAATCCCGAAAGCCCAGAGTTGTTTACTTGTTTTGAGTTTTTGAAAGCCAGTATTATGGTAAGTAGTATACAAATTGGGGGTTCTGAGACGGGTGGTGCGGGTGGTGCTAAGCACCACCCATGACGTCATCAGGATATCATATCATACTAATTATACGCGCTTGTAATGTATTTAAAGAGTGTGGACCAATGATTACTAGCATTTTTAGAAAATTTTTACGGTTTAATACTTTGCTAATATTTATCCCCACATATATTCCTTCTAACAAACTGAGTGGAATTTAACACGTTCTCGATATATATTCTACTAAAGTTGTTGTAATGCATGTGGGACGTAGATATTGTACGCATGCGCAATGAGATTTGTGTATTACAAAACTTTCTGACTTACAGGAGTTTGCTAAGATTCCGGGGGGAATTCTGCAGATAATATCCCAGTTTATTAAAAATTCCCCCAAATCATAAAGACAATAGAAACAGAGTATAAAAGGTGTACTTGAGTTCATCGATATCGTATTACAAGGTTTTATTAGATTATCTTAGAGTATCCACTACTTTAACACCATCCTTGGTATTACCTGGGGATGTATTCACCATGTTTAGGACTGTTAAACAAGGAATAATAAAAATCTAGACATACATATGAAAATTTTTGACACAACTAAGCAGTTGCTAAGCCCAAGTTAAAATCGGTGTCAACGCCGTTGTTATGGTCAATATTTGCTTATTACAGAGTCATTATAATAAGTGATTAACTCGCCCACCCCATGTGGATATATACAATTTTTTTATTTCAGCGAGCTTGAGATACTTGGAGACAGCTCCTTAGGCTCGGAGCTTCTGTAAAGCTTCTGTGAAGCTTCTGTGAAGCTTCTGTTAACTTCTGTAAAGCTTCTGCGAAGCTTTACAGAAGCTTTACAGAAGCTTTACAGAAGCTTTACAGAAGCTCCGAGCCTAATGAGTTGGCTCCGACCCTAGGGAGTATAAGATTGAATCATTGAATTCTAAGAGTGAATCATTGAATCCTAAGATTGAATCATTGAATCGTAAGATTGAATCATTGAATCCTAAGAGTGAATCATTGAATCCTAAGAGTGAATAATTGAATCCTAAGAGTGAATCATTGAATCATAAGATTGAATAATTGAATCCTAAGATTGAATCATTGAATCGTAAGATTGAATCATTGAATCATAAGAGTGAATCATTGAATCATAAGATTGAATCATTGAATCATAAGATTGAATCATTGAATCATAAGATTGAATCATTAAATCATAAGAGTGAATCATTGAATCATAAGAGTGAATCATTGAATCATAAGAGTGAATAATTGAATCCTAAAGCCATTCGAGGATGATAAGGAAGATAAAGATAAGGATAAGGAAGATAAGAAGATAAAGATAAGAAGATAAAGATAAGAAGATAAAGATAAGGATAAGGAAGATAAAAAGATAAAGATAAGGAAGATAAAGATAAGGATAAAGAAGATAAAAAGGTAAAGATAAGGAAGATAAAGATAGTGTAGATAAAAAGATAAAGATAAGGATAAGGAAGATAAAGATAAGGAAGATAAAATGATAAAAATAAGGAAGATAAGGATAAGTAAGATAAAGATAAGGAAGATAAGAAGTGGAAGATAAGGGTCGATGTAGGGTCGATGTGGGGTCGATGTAGGGTTGATGTGGGGTCGATGTGGGGTCGATGTAGGGTCGATGTAGGGTTGATGTAGGGCTAGGAGCATAGAAACCATGGCGAATGAACAATTAAGCCAAACGACTCTTATTACAAGAAGTAGACCACATTAACTTTGTAAACGTCTCGAAGAAATAAATGTATTTTAAGATTGAATTCTTGTGTAAACTTCTGGCTGCAAAGCGCTCCTGCATTCTCTAAATTGCTTTCTCTCTTCCAATATAAACCTCATTATTGTTGTGTTTCCAACCCGCACGGATAACATGCGACGCCCGCGCAATGAATATCCTAATCTACCCGTATTTTTCCACACAGTAGAAAATGCAAATCTCTGATAAAAAGTTAATCCTTTAATTAGTTTCACCCTCACCCTAACAACACATAGCAACCAGTGTGCTTTAAAATAGCTTAAATTTATTAA